ATGAAGCCCCACTGGAGTACTAAAGCACAGAATGGTACATAAACTCAGAAACTCAGGAAGGGAAGTTTGAGATCTGATGATGATGACTTCACTGATTTTTCTTTGCATAAATTGTAAGCATAAGTCCTCCAAAGGGATTGCCCAACCTCTTGGACAGTTTCTTCAGAGAATATGGTACTACTTGATTTTGGGCAGTGTCAGCGTAAGCAACATGGAAGGAGTAAGTTTCTTGTAGGCAAGTTGCTAACCCCATTTGATGGACCTCTTCATTTTTACCCAGAATTTGCTTAAGAGATTTATAAATACAGGTATCATGACATCATGTTGCAGAAATCAAGTGGCTGAGGCAACCTTGACTAGATTTTGACTGCTTGAATCAAGGTCCTCTCACATTTTCACACTGCCATAGATGGTGAGGGTAAAGGGAGGCTGCAAAGGGGTATAAAGAGGTGCATATAGAGTGACTGATTGGAGCTGGGCGTATGCACAGGGAGTGCATCAGACTTCTTTCTTACAATTATACATCAGGAAATTCTGCCTTGCTTTCTGTCAGAACTTCCTTCAAAAGTAATTAAAATGCTGTGCAGACACTTATGCTTTCTGGTTGTTCTTCACTTCTTGAATAACCCAAAGGTCCTGATGAAGAAGAATCCACAGGAAGAGACTCCTGATCATGCAGTATGTTCATTTACTGAGAAAGCTGCCATAAAATGGCATTAGAGACAATGAAGTCTAAACTGCTGCAGCTGAAACTGCAGCATTCTTTGTTTTCTTTCCAGAGAAGCTGCTTTGTGAGTAGACCAAGCCATGCCTCTTTGTTCCAATAGCTGCTTGTTAGAAGTCTACAGGGAACTGGCAAAGAAGGGGAGAGCTAAGTCTTGAGCAAGTTAAATATGCTTGACAGTGTGCAGTAGAGAGTAAGGAAACTTCAGAGCTAAGTAGCAATGAGAGAATAACAAGAAAGCCCCTTGCAGCTTACAAATGATGTGGGCAGGAAGTTCAGAAGACTCAGAAGAGATGCATGGACTCAGGGTTGTGGCTCAATGCCACAGCAGCACACAATGAGGCTGCAATTGTACTGCAAAATGAGTTTTTTCAGAGGTAGATTGTAGATCAAAGGCATGCCCAGTGGTTAAGTACAGCTGAGCTGCCCCTGTTGGACTTCTGTAGTCCAGGGATTTTTCAAGGAGCATGGCCAAAACAGTCACAGGTCCAGACATTCCCCTAACCATCAGCCTGCATGTAACTCTTGAAGACTTACCAGTTATTGTGGTGGCACCCAAGGCATCATCATATTAAATGGGAATTTGACAGAAAAAAATTCCTAAACAGATGTAGATGGAAGATTTCTGAATGGATGTTCTATTTGTTGAGAAAAAACAAGCAAAGGAGAAAAAAACAAAAGACATCTGAAAGTAAGATCTGGTTTCAGCAGTCCTTCTGAGGATAAGGAACCTGTCCTACAAGTCCTGGCAACTGGATATGTGACTGTTGTCTCACAGCATGATCCTGAGGAAGCTGATCCAGGAAGGAGAGCCAATCTTGCACCTCCTTTCCCTTCCCTCTGCAGAACTGTTACCCCAGCCAGAAGCACACATGGCTACATTTACCCTCAGCATTTACCCTCAGTCTATATGACCAGATGGTGTTACCCTCCCAGCCCATGGCCCTGCCACAGGGACAACATCTGTATGGATAATAATTAGCAAGCTCACATCCAGCTGAGGAAATCAGGGTACCTGAATACAGCTCCCTAGCACAGGGCCTACAACCAAACCTCAAGGCCTGTCACACAGGTCTGTCTAAGCACATATTAACTCAGACAGCACCACTTAGCTATAAAACTGTCTCTGGTTTTGCATGCTGAAACAGAACAATACAAGCCAAAAACCAGATAACTAACACTGGCAGATGAGAGAGCTGTCATCAAAAGACTTTCAGAGCCCTTTCTGAAGGAAGTAAATAACCTAGTATGAATGGAGTGGAATACTTCAGCACAGCACAGGGATGTGAACTGCCTGGCATCACCCAGGAGGCTCAGAACAACCATCTCCTTAACTGTGCACAATGGTTTATGCCTTTAAGCAGAAAAGGGCTGTTAGGAGCAGAGCTGGGCATTCCCTCTTTCATGCTGAAAAGCATTCTTCACCCCAAACCCTCCCTGGGGTGAAAGGGCATTGTGGTACCTATAGCATCACCTTTCAGATGGGCCACAGCAACAGAGAGATCAAGAATTTGCACTTTTGTTTTGTTTTGTGGCTGGAATGAAACCCTAGTTCTATTGCTTCATTCCATTGAGCAATTTTTCTACATCTTCTCTTTCAATTATTTGGATAATTTTTCCAGTTTACTGTCTTTAACTGTCACATAACATGAGTATGCTATAATAGGTGCTAAATATTTTTGTTGTTGCTATTATTACTCCTTCACAGATGACGAGTCTGAAGAAAAGAGCAGTACAAATACTAAAGAGATGCATCTCAGAATTTATTTTTGGGCACAAATATAATTTCTGTTTTCTGGCTATATGGTGACATATATCTACAGAGGCTTGTGAGCCAGTCATCATGTAGCCAGCATGTTCTGTGCTCTGTGAGGATGCATCTTGTAGCTCTACATGGAAGGGACTGCAGCTTCCCAGTGAGGTGATTTTTGGTTTGTTTAGTTTTAATGGGAACTACAAGAAGAAGAGTAAAAGAATCACTGAGGCTGGGAAGTAAAGAAAGCATTCAGATGTTGAGAATAGAAACTTTCAGTTCTACTTTCAATTCTGTCTCAATAGATTTCAAGCAGACTTCCTCCAAAAGGTCAGAAGTATCCCAAGATAAGAAATGCTACTTCTCACCCAGCTCCAAATTGCCAAAATGACTGTACTTACCAAAATGGATGGAGCTACCTATTGTAAGGCAGACACATATATTCCTCACATTGCTGACTGAGGCCTACTGAAAGGCTGGGACTTTTGCTTAGTGCCATACCACCAGCCATTTTTATAAGAATTTCAGCTCCCATTTTCTCTATCCCTGTGCTAAAGCCCATGCAGGATGTTCTGCTCCTGCTGTCCAGCTCCTCTGGGTTTGATTTGTAATGCATTAGAGAGAGTTGATAAACACAGGCATATGTGAAGAGCAACAGCAACAAAAAATCCTGCTTGCCTATGGAAGGCTTATTTAAACTGATGTAAATCTCGAGAAGATTCTGCTCCTGGGAGTGGAAGTGTCAGAACCAGCCATTCAGGCTTTTGCTTTACAATCTAGACAGGTTACAGGGCGATGAATGAGAGCTCTGAATCCACCAAGAAAGCTCTTGTGGGAAAACTTAACCCTAAACTCCACTCCTATAAAGATGCCCACTGAAAGCATATTGAAAGCAAAATTTAAAATACACTACTAGATTTTCTATAAGATCTCTTACTTGACTTGGGTTAGGAAAGCTGGACAAGGAAAGGGCAGGGAGGGATACACTGATGTGTAGCAGTAGAATCAAGGAAGAATGGCTTATAGCTTATAGCTTAGAGACAAGATAGACATTTTACCTTTCAAAGCATAGAGTAAGCAGTGACTTTATTTCACTCCTGCAGGTAAAGGATTTGGTTTATCTTTTCCTGATAATCCCACAGCTTTCTCCTGAGTTCCCTTCATAATTTTTGAAGTTCTGATTTTCTGTTTTAGTAATTTGATATTTGATTCCAAATGAGAAGTGTGGCTAACATTGATTTGCTCACTGTACTGCTTGGAACTTCATTATGTATTCATACCAGTTCAATTCCTTCCTGTTTGTTTTAATTTGCTAACATTTGCAGAAAGGGCTCTATATATAATTAATAAGGATGGAACCAATAGAGAATTGGTATTCCTAAGAGCCTAAGCAGGTCCCTTGTAGATCAGTTGCTGGTTCTCAAATTCACTTGATTACAAAATCATACAGTACTTTTTCCACACATCTCACTTGGGATCTGTGATGGGCTTGTTTGGAGATGAATGAACATGAGGTTATTGGCATAGGACCCTTGCCCCATATAAGAAAGCAAGGCAAGATAGGTGTAATTAATTAGGATGGGGATTCCAGAGGGAGAAATTAAAGCTTCACTATTACAGCAGTCCTACCCTATCATGAAAAATTATATTCTCTCCTTAAGTTTGCCATAAAGCAAGTATGGAAAGCACAGAAAGAGTTTTTATGGAAGGTCACTTCCATTTTGTGCTTTTCCTATCTTTTTCTGACACTGGGTTAAGATCTGGAAATCAGACTTACACAAATGCTGAATATTCACACCTTAATTGAAATACACTTTAACCAGCTCATCTGGGAGTTGAGGAGGAAGGCAACTTCCCCCCAAAATAATTACATCTTTGGGAATCAAAAATCAGATATCCAAAATCAACAGATAGATAGAATAAAAATACATAAAATTTGTGTTTCTCTGTGATTCAGTTGTCTCTGAATAGAAATAACAACTCTGTTATAATAACTTCTCGAAACTCACAGTGGTTTTGAGAACATGGAAATGAATAAGCACCGAAAATATCTGTAAGAAAATCAATTCTCTTTTTAAATAGGTTTGGATGGTGCAGATTAAATAAAGAAAAAGAACGCCCACTCTCTGAATACTGCAAATTTTTGTTTCCAGAACACTGATAAACCATTTTTATGCCTTTGCAGCTCATACACTGTTATTTATGTTTGTTATAAAAATGATGCACATTTGCATGCTAACCAGGTCTGTCCTTTCAATTCCTGCTCAGTGCCTGTTCAGTGAACCAAATTACAAGCACTCCTATTTTCCCACACAGTTTAAACCAAAGATGTGATAAATCTGCCATATCTCTGCCTCCTGATCCCATCTCTTTCAACAGCAAAGGGCTTCCAAAAATATTAAGGGCAGAGAGAGAAAATATTTAGCTACGGGTTCTGACCTGCTGACCCCAGGTCCCTTTCTGTGAACATTACTACAGATCTGAAGCAGTAAAAAATGAATAAATCAACCCATTTGTGCCCACCTCAGCCAGAGCAGAAGAAAAGTGATTACAGTTCTTGTGCATCAAGTGGTACGCATTTCCTTTGTATTCCTTGCCCAGCTCTTCCATAATCTTATCCACATCCTCTTCTGTGAAGTCTGTAGTGCCCAAGGCAATGGATTCTCTAGTTAAAAACAAAACATACAACAGGGAAAACAGAAAGATACAGTGAGGAGTGTGATACATACCAAGGGAGAAGGAAATGATCAGATATTGGCAAGAAGGACAGGCTTAAAATGTTATGGACATGCATATCTGAGGCTATCAGAGACTCTTGCTAACAGAATAGCACAGTAATATCCACAGCTTTTCCACAAAACAAGTTACCACAAGGCAACAGCCCTGAGATCTTCTTGCTCATCACCAGGGAACTCTCAGCTCTGGGCACCTGCTGCTATTCTGCCCATCACCCCAGAAGAGAAATTCCTATTACAAGAGAGACGATGTTTTTTCCAAAAAAAAAAATTGAGAGGGTCCCCTGGGCCAGGAAGGAGAAGACTGAAAACTTTATGATAAACCTACTGCTTCTCCCAACATTCACTCAGTAGCACTTGCTCTAAAATAGCCCTCAACATAAACTGGCAGTTTGGCAAGGTCAAGCACCCCTGCCCCACAGCCCCACGGTCTGAACACCTTGAACAACACAAGAATGCAGAATCCTCTCAGACTCCTCTAGCAAACAGTCTGTCCCTTGTAACAGAGCAGCAATAAAAATAAAAATGTGGTACTCTGTGCAGTATCCACAGATGGGGAGTACTCATAAAAGGAGAAGCCTTGTTTTTTTTTCCCCTGTGCATTTGCTCTGTGTAACAGGCAAAACTGGGAGCACAGAAGATTAATAAAATGGGAAAAGAGATCTGCACTCATTTGTAAGCGTGCTTTTAATCCCTGACAAATACAGTTCATCGCTGTTCCCTGTTTGCTGTACACACTCTTTTATCCACCTCTGAAATCCCTGCAGGGCTGCCTTTGAATCGGGATCATGTAAAGGATGGCAGTGAGGGCACTTACGAGGAGAGTGAAAGGAGGACCCAGAGGACAGGAGTTCCCTGCTCCCCCTACACTGATGGCTACCAGGGGCAGAGGGGAAGATGTAGAAAAGGGCCCTTACTTGAATTTAAAGGTCTCGCCAAGTTCTACCGCACTGCCAGGTGTGATCTCGAAAATCCCACTGAAAGGGTAGGGATGCCCTCCATAGGCAAACTCTGACAAGGAAAGAAACAGACTGTGAGTAACTGAATGAACGCCATGTCAGGAAAAAGTCTATGGCAGCTGTCTGCATGGCTCAACATCAGCACCAGGGGCTGGGCTATTGCCAAAATCTGTTTCAGCCAGACTCGGAAAGCTGTTTTTGCTGCCTGGTTACCTTTTGGACTGAGGATGCCCTCACAGCCTCCCTCTATGCTAGCACTACTGCTTTCCCACAGCACCAGGAAAACCCTCTGTCTCTGTCCCTATCTGAGTGGCTTTCTCTCAGTGGAAAGTTCTGCATTGAAGGCATCTGGATAAACTGTGAGAGGCTGCCAGTGGTGCTACTGAGCTGGAAGAAGCCGTTTCTAGAGTAGGGAGAAATTGAATCTTCCAGAGGGATTTACAGGCAGTGAGTGGGAAGTCTTTGCAGAAAGCCAGGCTGATTGCACTCTGCTGCCTCAGCACACAGGCCAGGCCAGGGAGTCCCTGCATGTCATACAGGCCACCCTGCATGGCCTGTGAAACACAGCCTGTGATCCTCATGGTGTCACACAGGCCATCTCACAGGGTCTGCGAAAGCCTCGGTGCTCAAGATGGAAATAACACCACAGGGGTTCTGGCTACTGCATGGCACTGCTTAAAATACCGTGAGTAGCCAAGTCATTCCCATTTAATGCTGAAAAATGAAACAAAGTCTGTGATGCTAGTTCATCCTTCCCCAAACTGCAGATGTTTTCCAGACCCCTTGACTTTTGAAATGGGTGGCTCTAATCAGCTTGTACCCCATCCAGACAATTTCAAAAGTCTTACATGACATTTTCCTTTCTTTGCAACTCTAGTTTCAAATCATCAGTTTTCAGTATCTGGAAATCCAGATTCCAAGATTTCTGGACCATACACATTCATAAAGAACTACTGGAAAAAGGATTTTTCCTGACAGGGAATTAGCACAAGCCCATCTTCAGGCCTTAAGACAACCCCTGACCCACCTCTCTTCCCCGTCCCTCGTTTCTCCCATTCCCTGTCCCACTTCTTTTATCTTCACTACAGAATGGCTTTCCAGCATTGCTCCTCCTATCCGCCTTCCTGCTACACACCTGCACAAGTTACACAGGCTGCAGTTACAGGCTGAACAAGAAGGACTACATGGCTCATAACAGACCTGCACGAGTTCCTCCTAGACTCCACCATGGACTCTGAAAAGAGCATTGGCTGAGTTTTTCAGTTTTTATTCCTCAAAACATTCCTTGCCAAAAGCTGTGAGTTTGAGATGTTTTGTTCCATAACAGACCAGCCATACAGTTGTCCCCACGTTCTGCAGGTAGTAAAAGGGAACTTCATACCTCTGCCGTAGATCTCAATGCCGGAGTGGAAGACACCAATCCCCAAGGTGGAAGTGTATTCATTTATCCAGTACTACAGTAAGAGAAAAGCCATTGGGAAGCATTAGTGGAAAAGAAACACATGGTCTTGGTCTAGGGTGTATCCCCCATCTCCCCAACTCCTCTTAAGGAGAAGAGTGAGTTTGAAATTATCTTGAGACAAACAAATTGAGACCTTACAGGCCAACAGAAGTGGGCACTGTGTTTATTCATTTGGATTGGATTAGCTCTCTGAAAAATGTTCAACTAACCCTTTCCACCAAAGGTAAAAACCTGTATTAAGATACAACTAGGCCTGAACCTGCATAAACCCAGCTGCTATGGGATGTGTGATTATTTATGTATCTTCTCACTAACACCTGACACTGAGTCAGTTTTTTCAATTCACTTGCCTTATTTGATCTTCAAAATCTTCAGTAAGAGAATCCCCAATTATTTTCCACACACCTTGTAACATCACCTCCCAGCATCCCTACTAATTAGTATGGTTTTAGGTAAAGAGATCATAGAGCTGGAGGTTTGGTGCCCCAATAGGTCAGACAAATTTTCAAGAGGAGCTGCTAAGTGACTGCACTGCTCTGGAGCCCAGCATTCCCCCAGCATTCTCTGTTTGGAACAGAGAAACACTGCAGTCCATTGCATGCATGTGATGCTCCTCCACCAAGCACTGCGCAGGGCCTGCTTCCACCACACCGTGAAGGACAGTGCAGACACCCAAACAATTCCCAGATAAGCTAATTCCGGAGTAGGAAGCTGTACAGCCATGCCAGGGCAGTGCTGCATTGGAGATAATTAGCCCTGCTCAGCATCAGTGTTTATTAGGTCAGCTGCAGAGCTGCGCTGCTACAGAAATGATATTTTCAGGCACTGAGGAAACTGCCCATGCCTGGTATATTTACAGTTCACTTCCAGCTGCTGTGCAGTGAAGATACATCTTCTAGTAACTCAGAGCAACTAAATTCTGGTTTTAATCTAGCACTGTGAGGAAAATGAGTGTTGTTCACTTGTTCCTGTACAAGGACATGACAAGCTCATTAAACTAAAATTCTCTTCTGGGTCTGGTAGCAGCTTCTTGTGGAACCAGAATAAGCTGCACCTTTCCTGTGTCTGGTGTCACTGAGCTGCCATGGTATGAGTAAGAGCCCCTCTGCTGTCAGGCAACCAGAGGTCTGCCATACTCCAACTACTGGGCTTGTACTACTTGCTTATGTATTTATGATGACTGCAGTAGCTCTGTAAGTCACCTGAAAATGTTTTCTGCAAAACCACTGCTACTGTGAAAAAACACAGTAGCTTTGATATGAAAGCCACAGTCCCAAGCCTGACTTAATGTATGGCTAATCTTGATATCTTAAACCACATCCCCAAAAATGCTTGCCTCTGGCAGTACAGCAGTTCCATTTCCCTCCAGAAAAAGCTGTAATGCTTCTTGTTCTTTGTGAGTTTATCACAAATGATGTATTGTTGCAGGAGAGCAGCAAACTGCCTGACCCCAGCTGGACCTCTGGCCACTGCAGACCTTGAACAACCTCCATTTACTTCTTCACTTGAATTATGCAAACTGCTGCTTTTAGGGTCAGGTAGCTCTCAGCCTCTGCCAGATGGGACAGCACATTAGCAGTGAACCCTGGGTTGAACACCATGCCTGGTATTTAGGGGCCCTTGCCTTCTGCTGCCCTTCCCCACAGTTCTGTTACCTAGTTGTCTGCAGCAGGAATATCCCTACTCCAACTGGGGAAGATGATAGAGGTGGACATCACACATGACACCATGGGACAAAAGCCTGTTTCCCCTGGACACAAAACCCACCATTGAGTTCCTGAATCTCCCACACCTCATTGAATCATAGAATCCTTAAGGTTGGAAAATATCTTAAAGATCATCAAATCCAGCCATCAGTCTAGCACCACCACCACTAAACCATGTCCTTAATGCCATATCCCCTCATTTTTTAAGTACCTCCAAGGATGGCACCTCCACCACTTCCTTTTACAGTCTGTTCCAATGCTTGACAACCCTTTCTGTGAGGATATTTTTTGTAATATCTATTCTGAACCTCCCTTTACGCAACTTGAGGTCACTTCCATCCCGTCACTTGTTGCCTGGGAGAAGAGGCCAACCTCCACCTCACTACAGCCTCCTGTCACCTGTTTGTAGAGAGCAATCGGGTCTTCCCTGAACCTCATTTTCTCCAGGCTAAACACTCCCAGCTCCCTCAGCCACTTGTCATCAGACTTACTCTCCAGACCCTTCACCAGCTCCACTGCCCCTCTCTGGACCTGCTCCAGCCCCTCAGTGTCTTTCTTGGTACTGATGGGCCCAGAACAGAGCACAGGTTTGAGGTGTGGCCTCATCAGTGCCGAGTACAGGGGGACAATCACTGCCCTGGTCCTGCTGGCCACACTGTTCCTGATACAGGCCAGGGTGCCATTGGCCTTCTTGGCCACCTGGGCACAGCTGGCTCATGTTCAGCCATCTGTCGACCAGCACCCCCAAGTCCTTTCCTGCCAGGCAGCTTTCCAGTCACTCATTCCCTGAATTAAAGCACTGCCTGGGGTTGTTGTGACCCAAGTGCAGGGCCTGGCATTTCACATTACTGCACCTCATATGATTTGCCAGAGCCCATTGATCCAGCTTGTCCAGATCCCTCTGCAGAGCCTTCCTGCCCTCCAGCAGATCAACATTCCTGTCCAACTTGGTGCTGTCTGCAGACTGACTGAAGGGGCACTCATGGGTTAATGCCTCAGATAGTCTCAGGTAGTCTCAGAGAGCTTCAGAGAAACACGAAACAATTCCCAGATGATGTGGTAAGTAGGTTGTCTTCTTCCCTCAGGCTGAGCTATTGTCTCACGGCAGTAATACAACCAAAACATGCCCAGGTCATGCCAGCTGCTTTGCTTAGAGAAGTAACTGATAGGAAGAGAAGGGAGACTTTTTAAATTAGAAATACTCTTGCCAGTTATCAAAATCAGGGCTATCTGCAGAGCCTCTTCTGCGTCAGGCTTTGTATTTCAAACAAGGAAGTTACACCGAAAGCCACTTGCAGCTACAGCTTTTTCTTCTTCCATAGTAAAGATTATGTTGGATCCAAAACAATAACCAAACAAGCAAGCAAGCGTCTCCTTGATTGACTACTTGTTAGAGTAATGCTCTGAGACTTGACCACCTCATACATGCAGAGCACTCTCAGATCACAAGGCTGCCCTGTCCCCCAAGCACTCTTTTTCGAAGCACAGAATTTCTGCCCCTGCAACCCATGCTGCCCAACTCCAGGAGCAGAGAGACAGGCTTTAGGACAGCTCTGAAAACACAAACAGTGATGAGGAGGCTCCTCCAAATATACAGAAGAGAGGAGCAAAAGTGTTTGGCTGATGCCAGGTGTTGCAAGATTATGGCCATCACATGTTCATTTCTGTATTTAAATGGTGTATTTTTCAGTATTAATTCATTTAAATGAGCTATTATGGACTGATGTGAAACAACCTCAGCCATACCTGAATTTGAACTAACAGAAGCTCTCCAGATTTAGTACCTTCTTTCAAATAATTTCCATCACACAAGAGTCTTACAGAAGTGGGGTCTGATTTGCATCTTGGTTCTATTGATACAATACTGATATGACCTACTAGCAAAACTGAAGTGCGAGGCAGCTCTGAATCATGGCTGCACCGTCCTCATCTCACCCCTGTCTCCAGGGTGCGGTAGAATCTGCCTCCAGTGTGTGACTGAACTCACAGTGAACGCCTCAGAGCACTTTGGCGCAGTCCCCGGCTTGTCTCAGGAGGAAGCTATGCTAAAGTGAACATGTCAGCCACTTGCTGAGCTGGAAAAAATAATCCAAGCCAGATTTGAAACCAGGTTTGTACACACATGCACGAGCTGGCCTTGTTTTCCAAGGGGTTCGCAATTCTGAGCATAAGAGCAGCAGCAACAGTCAGCAAATACCCATCTCTGGAGTAAATTGGTTATTGCTTAGATTAAAAACAAAAATCTGCAGCCTGTTCAGTCAGATGAAAAGAGCCAGAGAACCGAATACAGCAGTATCTTAAAGGGACTTGTGATTCATGCATGCATCGCATACTGCCTGGAAATCATGCCCTAAACCATACACAGAGGGACTTGGAGCATTCTCTCATTTCCATCTTCAACTGAGACTGAGAACAGCTCAGATGATAACAGAGGCAGGGAGGAAGGCTAACCAGGCTATAATCACTTCATAACGGCAACAGATATCCCAGAACTCGAAATTCAAACCCAGAGAGGAACCTCTGCATTTAGTTTGTAGTGTATTGGTTAATAGCTTTTAATGAAGGACCCTGATGAAGTAGAATTTGAAAATGTTCAGGTTTTATTCAGGTTTTCCCTGATTTTCTATTGGTTTGGTTCAGAGATCAGAATAACCGGTGAGATATTTTAGATTCTGGGAGACACTCTAAGTCAGTTCTTCTGTTATTCACTTCATTTATCCATCACACAGATGTAGAAGTGTTTATGAGAAGAGGTAGAAGCAGATGATGTGACACTTATAGATTATATCGTCCTGGGAGCTTTCAGAGAAGGAATTCCCAGGAACTCATGCCAGAAACATGAGTTCCCAGATAGAAGAGGCCCATCCATGCAACCACTAACTTCCACCATCAACTAATACTGTATTATAACATTGAAGTTTCTGTCACTAACTTTCTCTTCCCTACCTCAGACCTACTTCATTACTTTCCATGGTGTGTCACCAAAATCTTTCCTGCATCAATGTGCTGAGCAGTTTAGCGAAACAGCCCCCCATCTGCTGGAGACAAGACCTCTTCTATGAGTATCTCAGGTATTCTGAGCCCTTGATATTTTCTCTGAGCAGTCAACACACTAAGCAATATTCCATTTATTGCCCCAATACTTACTGGATATTCCACTCCACCAGATCCATCCACTACTGAACAGATGCTAATGTTCCTTATGATCGGTATGAACATATAGAAAAGAAATCCACCAGTTGTTAATTAGATCTGATTTCAATAAATAGCTGCAAACTCGGAGTAC